ACATGTACATATTAATAAAGAACAGTCATGTATTCATATAAATTTAAGTCACATCGCAAGCAAAAGATATAATCATTGTTAATATAGCTTGTACAAATGATCTAGATGAGAACAGATAAGGCAATAATCCCAAATAGTATGTATAACACAACAAGTCTACATGTAGGAAATACCGAATCAGATATATACGACCCGTTTCACGCGAAACGTCCCGGGCCCGCCGCGCGAGCGCTAAAAGTCACTGTTTTCAGCTCATTTTCTTGGCCTTATTCCTATCGTAAAAAAATGTTGCAAATAGCATTTGCGATGTATTTTTCAGTCAGCTTTTCGATGCTGTAATTAGTTTTTCAAAAAAATTTCATTTTTACTAAAGAAAAACATGAAATATGCTATATCTTAAAAAAGATATTTAAAAAAATTTTTTTTGATGGACTAGATGGAAAGCTGAGGTTTTTCACATTAAAAACGTTTTTTTTTGTAGTGTGCTCTCACTGAGAAATTGGAGTAAAACAATACCAAAGAGTAGACGTTTGGTTGTCTAAACGCGTGCCAAAAGCCGATGCTGCGCCGCGCTCTGCTTAAGTTAACTAATATTATAAGTTTTGTAATATTTAATTATTTATTACCAATAAAGTATGCTTACACGTTATTACTTAGTATAGTGTGTTGTATAATTAAAATAGAATCTTTGATTTTTTATATGATTTTCAGGGAGGATTAAAAGAACCGTCTCAACATAAAGTGTATTTAGGTTCTAAATTCATTACAATTGCCTTACATGTTTTAATTTATTCAACTTGCTGTAGATAGCGTACTTACCGGAAACTGCCACTTAAAAACTACCACGACTGTATTAAAGCAGTAGTGTGCAGTAACTCTTTGGAAAAATGTTTCTTAGGAGCAGAATGTCTAGATTGTTCCATCATGTCAACGTTACGTCCACATCTTCTTGAATGTTTTAAAAAACATAATATTTTTGTAATCAAATATGAATCGTGGTTCCAAACAGACAGATGTACCATTGCTACACAAACTTTGAATTCTCATGATTTTGTTGACTTGCTAGGAGAAAAATAATAAAAACTCAAAACTCATAATTCTTTTGCTACGAAACAATCACTTTTTATTAATAAACTGAAAAAAAAACTTAAAAGTGGAGAATTTATTGTAACTTGTGATTTTTCGGAAAATTATGCATTTGTTATACAGAATTCAACTCAATCTTTACATTGTAACAATAACCAAGTATTCTATTTTTACAGTTGTTACTTATTATAAAGAAAAAAATGAGCTTCAACACGTAAGTATTGCTGTTACTTTCGATTAGCTAAATCATGATACAATTGCTGTATATCAGTATCAAAAAGTTATAAAAAATCATTTCAAATCCAAGTTTGTAGTTAAGAAAATTTTTCACATAACTGATGGGGCCAGTCAACATTTAAAAAATAAGAGCAACTTTAGAAACATACTTCTCCACAAAAAAGATTTTAAAATTTATTGTGAATGGCATTTTTTTTGCTGCTGCTCACGGAAAGGAAGTGTGTGACGGTATTGGAGCTAACTTGAAGATAGGTGCATGACGTGCAAGTCTTCAGGTTTCCTCTAATAACCGAATTTTAACAGCAGAAAACTTGAACGACTGGGCAAAGGATTATTGCAAGGAAACAAAAGTTTTTTATTTGAGTAAAGAGTTGTATGAAAAATTTAAAATTAAACTTAAATCTCCATTGGATGAAACAAAATTAATACCAGGTACTTTGCATTTTCATGCTGTCATTCCAATCGATGATAAAACATTGAAATTAAAAAAATCATCTATGAGCTCTGTGTATCAACTTTTTCCAAAACAAAATAATAAAACTAAAAAGCCCACATCTCGAACGTCATCTAAAACTACAAAATAATAGAAAGTATTTTTAAATTAATAATATTCATAGTTAACTTAACTGCGGCGCGCCGCCGCACCGGGCCTCGGCGCGCGTTCAGACGGCCGAACGTCTACTCTTTGGTATTGTTTAACTTAAATTTTTAAGTGAGAGTACACTGTGCAAAAAGACGTTTTCAATGTAAAAAAATCTCAGCTTTCCATCTAGCCCATCAAAAAAATATTAAAATTGCCTTTTTCGAGATATAGTGTGTTTTGTGTTTTTTTTTCAGTGAAAATGAATTTTTTTTTTCGGAAAACTAACCATATCATCAGAAAGCTGACTAAAAAATACATCGAAAATGCTATTTGCAACATTTTTTTAGGAGAGGAATAAGGCCGAGAAAATGAGCTGACAACAGTGACTTTTAGCGCTCGTGCGGCGGGCCTGAGACGTTTTGTGTGTATGTGGTTCCAAAAGACTATTGTTAATTCATAACAAATGATGTTAATGATGATTCAGATTATTCGTTTAGTGCGATGTAAGTGATCGAGTTAACAACAAGAGTGACGCAAACGCCCACTTACAGTACATGAAGTTGATACTAACGTAAATATTTGCCTAATTGAAGTGGGTACACAGAATGATAGTTTAATACGAACAGTATATGATTGTAAGACCCGATACTCAATACACAATTATACCCAAAAGTAATAAAAATTAAAAATATATCAACGAAGTGCTACGAGGTGAACACACTCAATCGCTCAAGAATCGAACAACGGATCGTCCGACTCTAACGTCCGAATGTTATAAAGAAAAACCCAACAAGCCTCGACGACGATAATAGAAGCATTAAAAAAGAACAATCAACGACGTAAAAGAATTAAAAAGCGAATATACAATTGCAACTTCAAAAAATATGTCAAACTTCCAAAATACAATAGTTGAGGCCACGCCACTTATAGGATCAGCTTATACTTTGTTACCGTCACGATGCACTATTAAACGGCAACGCCCGTATACACCGAAAGTAGAAGAATTTGACGAAGAAGCTGCAAATCAAAAAAAATTGCAAAATGGCTTAGTACATGACGTATGGCTTTGTCAGAAGAACGACTTTCATAAAAGCAACTTAACTTCAGAAAGTTTATGTGGAGTGGGAAGCACAAGGAGTCTCTACGACGCAGGATAATGATTATGCCAAGTTCGGCTTTTTTACTGCTAAATGGATTAAATAACGCCCATTATAAGTCAAATATATACTCCTATAGCTTATTCAAGGTCTTTGCGCACCTTGAGTGTTTATTTATTATCGTATTGACTCGGTTTAACGGCCTTCCTTGGGCATGAACTTCTTAGAATTTGAACGGCCTTGGCCTTGTTTACTGCACTACCAAATTATGGATCAATGCATTTGTGTATATGAAGCATATAGGAAATTTATATTTAATACGTATAAATTTAAATTTTATGGTTTTACACTATTTCATAATATTATGGAACTTAAGTAGTAAAACGTTGTGTAGATTCCGGAAAACACATAGCATGTGTAGCACAATAAAAACATAACACTAAATTTCATGGCAGTCTTTGAAGTGAATTTTTAGAACTGTAACGAATAACAATTTTTATGGATTTCATGTGGAAGGAAAATGTTTAGGTGCACAAATAAAAGAGGATTGGTCAACTCACAAACTTAACCTTACCATTTTTATTTTAGTTATATATTTAAAAAAAAATCAAAAGTTATAGTGACTTTATGATATTTATATCAATATGCAAATATTTCGTCAAATATGTTCAAAAACAACATAAGCTACATAATCCAATAATCACAGTTTTCACAAAATTTGATTTTGTTTAATTTAACGACTCCAATACCAAGTCGCTTTAAAGTTTCACAGTCTTTAATAAAAAATAATCAAATATTTAAGAAAATTTGTGTACCTGTTAAGAAAACTTCCATGAAAATAGTCAGCTATTTATGAACCTTATGTACACATAGATTCAGAGTTGTCACATATTTGAGTAAGACAAATTTTTGTAGGTTATTATTTATTAAATTTTCTTGTGGACATACGAAGTAAAGAATGTTAAAATTGTTGATTATTCACATTCTTGGATGTACTGGTGCGAATAGGTGTTATAAAATAAGCGCCATATAAGATTGTTGGAGATTGCATGCGTAGTATGAGTTTTTCGACGGTAGTTTGTTTCAAAAGAAGTAAGTTATACATCACTTGATTGCAAAAACAGGTGTACCGCTCGATGTTTGAAGATCGCTGAGCTTTTGCTTTTAATAATTTAAAAACGAAACTCTGTGTTTTGAAGTAATAAATATTAAGTATATAACATGGGATGTCACACTGGATAAGATATTCGTGAGCTAAAAAGTAAGTGTCGTTGTACTCTCTCACTATTGTAGGATGTCTTATAAAAAACGTTTTACCGTTGTTACCGACCTAAAACGTAGAAATGGTTTTTACTACAAAAATTATCTGTGATAATCATAGTATAGATTTGTGAGATTTAGTTCAATGATAAAAATTACAACCTTTTATATATTCCAATGCAGGCTATGTCTCTAATCCAGTCCGTTGAAAAAATTTAATAGTTTTATTACAAAATAGGTGGTATTAACACACAGGCTATAGTAAAAATTTTAAAGATAAAATCGTGACACTTTGTTTGGAACTTACTTATAAACTATTGAGACAAACTAAAAATACTCTTAATTACAGTCTTAGACGCTTGAAGTCACGTTTATCAGCCAGAATTATCACATTCTTTTAACACCTTGCTTGATAGGAAATTTTGTCAAAAAGTTAAATTTGATGCATGATAAGTGAATGTTGAATATTTTCCTGAGCTTATCTTATAATTTAATACTCTACATTCATTTATATTGTTATTTGATAATACAATTAATTTTATAATTTAAGTGGTATTGTATAATAGCATATAAGGGTCATAGTTATATTTAAAACTGCTAAGATATAAGAGAACTAATTGATATTGAGAGAGTGATAAACATAAGTTTTCCTAATTTTGCTGAATCGTAAAGATATTTAATTAAAAAATAAATATGTTAGTTTTAATCGAGTCAAACTATAATTTTTTTTCTTGCAGAAAGCAGTAAAAATTAATCACAAGTGTTTATTAAGGTCAAGCGTTGAAAAACATCCAAATGAAAATTCTAGTGATTCTAAATCTTTCGTAAAGGTATATATATTAACTTATTTTCTATACTTTAATTAGAAGAAAAAAACAAGCATAATCATTATTTTTTTTTTTCAGGTTCTTATTCAGGTTTCTACAGAAAGAATATCACTATCAGATATGTGCAGATAGAAAACTACGTTTTAATTTAATCTATAGTTTATTTAGCTCATTTTGATGATTTATTGTTTATTTACTTATATTAAGTATAGAAAAAAATTCATATGCTACAAATTTTAGTTTTTTACCACTTACAAGATTTTAATTGAATGTCAATGAATAACAATATGTGTCATTAGTAATTTAAAACAATGTTCTCATTTTTTTGTAGTAAAAACTTCTATTGATAGCTCATTTTTCAACCTACACTTAACTAATAAAATTAACATTTTTATTCGGATAAAGTTAGCACACAAAAATACCCAATAACAAAATTTTGTATTTTAATAGTCATGCTCTAAGACTATTATTTTTATCTGGTAAAGTAACCACTTTTTGGCAGATAATTTGTTTGTATAGTAATAAAAATTAGTATAAACCAAACTTATGCTCAGGAGCTTCTCTTTATTACAACGAGTAAGTCTCTTAAAAATTGGAAATTTTTCCAGGGTTATGACCCTAAGAAGTTAAAGTTATGTTGCTTTGGGGGAAAGGTCCGGGTTTTATCGGCAAGGTATGGATTTGGATCATAATTATACTGGGAATGCATACCATTGAAGAGATAGCCTAGGATCATAAGTTAATAACATAGGATCGAGCGCTTTATCCATTCAAAGGTGGGAGTAGTTTTCACTTATTAGACTCATTGGCTGGTTGTAATAGTCGAATGGAAAACAAAAAAATTATACATAATTTTCAAGACACTGTTAATATAGTTGAAAAGTGCGGTCCTGTGTGAGTAACATTTGGCATTATAAAGAATAACTGAACACATTTTATTGTTTGGCTTGTGACGTGGACGTTTCAGCCGGAAAACAGCCGTCCTGACGCCTTGGCACAAAAGTAACTCGTATTTAACCTTTCTTGTCCCTGCACACTGGATACTTCTCCTCCTGAAGATCTGCCACAGGTGTCCGGCTTGGAAATGCCAAGCACTCCTAAACGGAAGCTAAAAAGGGAAGAACAATGAGGCACTAGCTGAAAATTAACTTTGAAATATCATATATTGTTACAGCGTACTATCGCTATTTATTCACCTACTTCCACACTCTCAATATTTCTTCTCTCGTGTCCTCTCTCTCACATACAGATATGTGTGTGTGTGTGTGTGTGTGTGTGTGTGTGTGTGTGTGTGTGTGTGTGTGCCTATACGGCACAATGTGTTCCCTGTAGATTCTTCGGGTGAGAGTGTCTTCTGGTTGCCCCTGCTGTCAAACTTCCTGGCTTGGCTGTCGAAGGTCCTTACCTACCTTACATACTCTCAAATCTACTCATGCGCCTCTCATACTTATTATTACCTTCGTGTGCGTCCCAACCACTACCGAGAATCTCTAGATCTTCCCAACTTAGATCTCCGCAACTGCTTACGCGCTCACACATACTCACATTTCCTTCCTTGAATTTTCCGCATCCTACTTCCCAATTTTTCTTACACACACTCATTTGCTCGCCCGGATCACCCTAATCCCTTTCCCCATACACCACTGTTGTGCACTATACACTGCGCACCTATCTTCTTACTGTCTTCTCTGTCACTAGGTTTTGCCTTAAATTCGTCTGTGCTAGTCTCGCGGATGATTCGACTAGGCGGTTAACTCCTGGCGCTGCTAATCACGGTGTTGACGATCCTCCCTATGTTATTCTATTCCGATAATTTTATTTCTTTCTTAATCCCTCGGTCTCGATCTTACTAATATCTCCTGACGCTCTAACCTTTCACTTTTCCGGTTTTCCATATCATTCTCTTTCTGATCCCTTCTCTCTCTGCTGCCTCATTTGATACTATGCTGCGCTATGCAGTGAGCCTGCATAGGCGCAGGCTCCTCCCTTTTTCATCTGAAACGTTCAATGTTCCTAAAAACTACCAAATAATTGGTAGTTTCAAAAAATTAGTAGTGACGATTTCTGCTTTATCGCAGCTAATCTCGAATGGAGCAAACTTAGGTACTTAAATTACTAGTTCAAATGAGAGCATGAACTTAAAGTTGTACTTTGTAGAGTAATGCAACACCTTACGGAGACCAAAATCCTAGAAAAACTTGAAAGCAAAGTTTCAGCCGTATGTTGAGTTCTCTGAATGCGCAAGGACACCAATATTTGGTACCTTGTTGTCGTCCATTTATACTCTACTTCTACTAAAGCAAAATCCATTTAGAACTTAAGTACAGCCTCCAAAATTTAACCCTCACATCTACACTTTGGACTCTTAGGTAGCTGAGGCTTTTGTCGATTCACTAGACGTTCAATACTCGCCAAGTTTCAGCACTTAATATTTCGTCGCTATCCACGTTAATCACTACAGGACAAGACAAAGGTTTTCTTCTAACGGTATCTGACTTTCCACCAACCTCGCCAGTCGAGATAAGTTATCTTAAACTTAAAATAAAAACCAGCAAAGCTCCTGGGTAGGATGGAATAAGCAAATTTATACTAAAGATCTTATGAAATAAAAAAATCACCGCTATTTGCAACATAATATGCCTTATTATCAGACTACTGTACCTGGCACTAGCTTGGAAGAAAGCCGTAGTCATATTCATACCCAAACCAGGCAAAGCTCTTTTTTTTGACATATGAAATACGGGTGGCACAATATGGTGTGATGCTGTCGTTAAAATGCTCTATATATGGCCCAGCATGAACAAAACCATATGTGTCAAGCATCCTTTACGACTCAGCATCTTAAAAAAACTACCAGTCAGTTGGTAGCTCCTGACTCTTGCTTTGAGCACATTCACATGGATATTGTTGGTCATTAACCTAACATAGAGGGTTTCTTGTATGTACCCCATACGCTAGTATTTTCTTTATTCACTATTATCGATAGATTTTCGCTTTGGCCAGAAGTGATATCTTGAAAACTATATCACAGCTAGGACCGTTATTGTAGCCTTTTTTTAATAATGGGGTAAATTGTTACAGTCTCCCAGAATACATCACCACGAACCTAAGCTCAGATAATGGGTTGAAAAAGGAGTGGTGCATAAACATAAAGTCCACGTGAATGTATATATACTATAAAAAGTAAAGAAATTTAAGGTAAATAAATGAACGTTTATGGCCTAACCTCAACAAAAAAGTAATACATTCGCAGATTGCATTTAGAAAACCTAGTTACTTATTTTGTATTTCTGTATACATTTATTATTTCAAGTACCTTAAGAATTTTTATGTTCATAAGTTGTCATATATATAATGTGAAATCGAACACATGTACCATTCAATTCTTCTAAGAATCTTTGTATTAGACAAATTAAAATTTTTTTTCTATTTTTGGCTTACGTAGAAGTAAAATAATCCACTCTATCTGTTCGAGATTAAGGAAAACAAAAGACATAGCCCATTTCCTTTGTAAAGTTGTAATTTTTCATTTAATGGGTTTTATATAATTTTTTATAATTTAATTTTAAAGTTCACCCGTGCTTTACTAGTTTCTACTAATCTTAAAATAAAAAGTGAGAAAATAGGTTTCGGTCACGTGATAATTATTTTTATAACACATAATAGAGAACAGAAAATGAATTAATTTAAAGGTAGGGTAGGTAGAATGTAGCTTTCCTTTTGTGATGTGATTTTTATTATTCTTAAAATTACTACGATTGTTTGTATGAATCCGTGTAATAGATATGTTCGAACCTTAATACGTGTTTTCTATTCGTGGAATTATTTTTGACCTATCTGGCTTCCCTTTTAAAATGCGACTGTTTGTCTAATTGTAAGACGTTACGTTAAAACAAAAATTTTTCGAAGATTTTGTTAACGTCTGTATTAATTTTCCAAAATGTCATACTTAATAAAATTTTTTTTTTACTCGTTCTTTTCATAATATAGCTGAAAAATAAAGAAATTCAGGTAACGCTTGTACATAGTCTAATCCCTTTCTATTTGTGCGCCCTAATCATAAATTCCCCCTGTAGGAAAACCCGTCAAAATTGTTATTTTAAGCCAATTGTGCTTTCCTTTTGAGATGCAGCGTTTTTCCTTGTTTTTAAAGGTTAGTTTATCATATCACACATACTTTATACTTTATGTACGTTTATTGACGTATATAAATACATTTAAAAAATTAGATAGGACAGGAAAATGATTTTTATAATGTTTCTTAGAAGATTTTGAAGAGATCCAACGACGTTCTGTGTCAGGCATTATACATCCTTAGCTATAACAGAGGTACAGCTTCGCCCTTATTACAGACACGATATGATTTCCACTATGCAGCATGCAGTTGCATTTTTTTTTTCTTTTTTTAAAGGAGGATGGTAAAAATCTTCAAAGACATCCCCAAGAGAGGGGATAGTGTCAGATTCTTGTCGACTTAAAACACCATTAGGGAACCAGTCTGGAGGCTTTAAACCCTAGAAAAAAAATTAGAAGCGGAGGAAAAAGAAGAAAGAAGTTTGATGCAGCGAAAAAAGAGATGCCGAGTACAAGCTCAGATGAGAAGGCTTGGTGTTAACGCGTTGAAGCGAAGATCGGGAACTGACTAAAATCAGATTTTTCAAAAAGTAGGTTTGACAGATATTAACAAAAAAAACGCAACAAAGGGGAAAATAACACAACAAAAAAAATGGTGCCTACTCAGAAGATAGATGAAATTATGCTGCGTGAAAGCACTTGAAATGAAGGTGATTTGGGGGGACCGTTAAGGGTCATTCCAAAATAAGGGTGTAGGATCGATCTACCCAGTCACTTCAACTAGGGAAGCAGTCAGCTAGGGCCTTGATGAGTGGGTTTGGATGCGATGAAATCGAGTTTCTTAGATTTTGTGCATAATTGTATAATGCTTTCTTTTGTGAAACTACTGAGGTTTCATTGAGAGTTTGTTTATTCCTGATGAACCAGGGAATATTTAAGGAGCTGCGCAGTAGACGTATAAATGTACCTTGCAGTAGTCAAAGTTTTGAAGAGATCCCCAGATTGGTATGGCTTAAGTGCATTTGCTCCTGATGATTGCGTTGAAGATACGTAACTTGGTCTGGATGGAAATTTTTTGGTTTATAAAATTCGGTTTGAGGGCCACAAAAGCTGTTCTGGCCTTGAGCTGGACACTGGAGATTTATTGTGACCACGTAAGTCGCTTGTCGAAAATGACTC